TTCCCATTAGCACTGACTCCAGCCTGACCTGGCGCCATTGATTATAATGGGGTCTAATTATGTGGGCGATATAGGGAGAAGGGGCAGGTGGAGAGACAGAGAAGGGAGGAGGAGGGACAGAAAAGAGGGGAGAGACAGTTCTGGGGAAGGGAGAGACAGAGATGAGCAGAGACACTAAAAGAGAGGAAAAATACAAGAAAATTACAGCCAGATAGAGAGATGGGTGTGGGGAGGACAGACAGGGTAAGGAATGGAGAGAGAGAGAGAGAGAGAGAGAGAGAGAGAGAGAGAGAGAGAGAGAAAGATGGAAAGAGAGACAAGAAAGAATTCTTCAGAGGAGGGCTGTTGGGTGTGGAGGACATGGTTGTGTTTGGAGGGGAGAGGGGTCCAAATTATTAACTGGACTATCAAAAGGGGCAAGGCAAGAATACCATGGTTCCTTTTATATGACACTTGCACATGTGCTATTATCTCTCATAAAAACAAAGAAGAATACCATTGTTCCTAAGAAAAGAGGGGCAGGTTCCTGAGCCTACTGAGGAGGGAAAGGCTTCAGGCTTCAACCTGTGGGGTACTGGGGAGGTGGGGGCAAGGAGTCAGGACTCCTGGATTCCGAGAAAGCAGGGGAACAGAGACTGGACTTCTGTGTCTGAGGGAGGAGGGGGCTAGGGGCCTGAACTCCTAGGTTGTGGAAGTGACTGGAGGCAGAGGCAGGAGAGGACACCATCTACCAGATGTGGGGGTCTGGAGGATTTGGGGTGGAGCTCCTCACGGGAAGACAATGGCTTCCACATCACTCCCGTCCTCCCAGAACAGTCTGAGCTGGAGAATAATGGAGCTTGGAGCTTCACCTTCCGTGGAAGAAGGACAAGGCTGGTTCCAGACAGGGAGGGGCAAGGGACCTGGATAGTTCCCAGCCCCCTCCTCCCCTACGTCCTAGGAGCCTGTACCCCTAGTCCTCTTCTCCCCCAGAGCCCTTCTTTGGTAGAGGGAGTAGTAGAGAATTCAAGAAAGAGCCCACTTTCTTTGAATAGCTTCATTTCTCACCTGCTTACGATCCTCCCCAGGCTCTTCATCACAAGCAGGGGAGGCGAGGCAAGGCTCCACCAAGGACACAGGGAACAATGTGAGGGCAGGTCTGGGAGTATTCAAGTGTGAGCCTCTCAGGGAGCGGTCATTTCCTTCCAGCCAGAGGTGGGGAACAGATATGCCAGGGACAGAGCTAGGTGAAGGAGGGCAAAGCCTGCTACACGCCAGGAACCTGGATAACTAGGGAGGGTTCTATGCAGATCAGGGTCAGGTTTCGCTTTAGGGAAATTCCCTGGACCAGAGCGGTGGGGGTGAAGGGTTGGGGGGACTAAGGCCAGGAGCCCAGAGGAAGGCGATTGCAGGGACCCAGACAGATGAGGTCAGAGCTAGGACAGGATGGGGCCAGAGAAGGGAGGAAGGGTAGTTGGGAGGGACACTCAGGAGGCTGAGGGGGCTTGCCCCGAGATAGGACCAGGAAGAGGGCAGGTTTGGGAAGAAGCTAAGGCCAGTGTGGGACCCAGTGGGTGTGAGAGGCCTGAGGGTTAGAAGAGGGGCCAGTCCTAGTGACAGAGATGTAGAGGTCATTAGTAGAGAAGGAAAACAGAGGTGGCAGGGCCCTGGGGAGGGAGATGACCCGGAAGGTGAATGGAGAAGCAGGAAGGGGGTCAGTTCCCAGCCCTGGGGCCACAGCATTGAGGGCTACGGATGAAGAGGAGGTTCCCAAAGAACTGATATTTTATCCAGAGGAATGGGGGGAAGGGTTCCACAGAGTTGAAGCCAGAATATACCCAGAATATAGTTCTTTTGAAGTCTCACATTTATACTCTAAATTCTTGCCAATTTTGCATTCATCTCCATTAGTCTATCCACGGGAGTTCTCATATAAAAAGATTTTCAAGTGCTTACCAGTGATACCCTATAACCTACCCTTGTGCACCCCCTCCCACCCTCAATAGTGAAAACCTTCAAGCTATGGGTTCATCATGGCTTTGGGGTCTCCCCAGCCAGTCTCCTGGTGCACTGGGGTGTCTGTCACCCAAGCATTCAGGGCTCTTCGTAAGCCTGCCCACAGCAGCCAGACACTCCCAACCGCCTCCACAGGCAACCGAGCCCTGTTCTTTGCCATGTGCCCCCAGCCCCCCTCCCCGCCCTAGCCAGATGGCTCTTTCTAAAGTCTGAACCTGAACCTGTCCTTCCTCATGGCTCCCCAGTGCCTTTGGCACGGAGTCACAGCTCCTCAGCCTGGTAGCTGGCACCTGCCCACTTCATGAGCTCACCTGTCACCAACCCCCTTCTCCCACGCTGTGCTCCAGCTACACGGAACATTGACCAGCTCTCCAAGTGCATGATCCTCTCTCCTGCTTTGTCCTTTGCACATGATGTTCTCTCGCCTTGGAAGACCCTCTCTTCTCCTGGTTATCTTTGTATGCCCTTCAATTAGCAATAGTTGCGCCTCGGATAAACCTCATTGGCTATGATACTGCCACTGCGCAAAGCTTGTATATCCTCCAAGTGAGCAGGGCCCAGTGCAAAACGAAAACGTGGAGTCCCTTGTTTAAAAATATTAAGAATTTCACAATCGTGACAGCAGGGCCTTCAACCAAGCACAGGGTCCTTCTAAAAGTGGGGCTCTGTGTGACTGCACAGGTCATACTGCCATGAAACTGGTCCCGTCTTCAAGAAATCTTACTTTTCCCACTTCCCATCCCAGGCTCAGTTAAAAGCCCCTTCTGGGCTCCCAAAGTCCCTTTGGCTTAAACAGGCCCTCATCACTCTTTCCTGTGTCCCCCATCCCAGCCCTGACCACTCTGGGATGCCGTTGTTTGGTGAGTATCTGTTTCCTCCACTGGACTGGAGCTCTGTGAGGGCAGGGTCTGGGGCTGTATGGTTACCAGCATCACTCTACACAGGTCAGGGCAACACCAAGCATTGATACAACATATCCTTGCTTTTTTGAGGCATGAAAGGACACAGGCACCAGGGAAGGAACCAAAGGCAGAAGGAGCCATGCCCAGGTTCAACCCACTGGGAAGACCCCTTCACCTGATTCTCCCACATATATGCCCATGTAAAGAGCGATAAAAGCCTGGCATGAGCTGAGGCCTTGCAAGGGATCACAGGTATGTCCAGGCACTTGGCCTGTGTCAGATTAGCCACACCTAGACACAGGGGTTGGATCAGGCAACACACAGACAGGACAGAGTCCTGGTGTCAGGGCAAGTTACTTTAAAAAAAATGCTCCAGTAACTTGGCCCTTTGGCACCAGGAAAGCCGGTCTCAAAAATGTGCAGGGCATCTTCAAAGCCAGACAGGGTATGGGCAGTGCAAGGAGTGGCACTCACTGAGCTCAGGATATTGGTGGACTCAGCTGGGATGTGTTAGACAAGCTACATTGAAACTTTAAGTTCTGGATACATGCGACCATTTGTCCACAGTCATATTGTTTCTGCGTGGGGGTGGGAGATAGTCCAGGCATCCTGTGAGGGAGGCAGTGGGGGGCCACGTTAGAGGGACCAGTCTGCCCCTACATACCTCCTCCTACCCTCCCTGCTTCCAAACATGTAATAAGCTACCACCGGGTGTGTGCACCCCTTCTGGGTCTGCATTCCCTTTGTCCATATGCCCCCCGATCAGCCACAGCCTCTGCGTTGCTGAGCCTCAGTCCACTGTTTGCCTGGTACTTGAACCTGGAAAAGGTCAGTAATTCCTATGCTATACAGAGGTCAGCTCCCCCATCTAAGGGATGGGTCCTTGGATATCAGATATCAGGGCCCCACAACTCTTCTTCCCCCGTCTTTCCGCAATCTTGCCTGAGAACTGGGTAGTTGGGCAGTGTCCATACCGTCCTCCCCATCCCCTATGGAGGCCTCTGGTGCGGTAGTCTCAAATCTCTCTCCAATTCATCCACTTAGGCACCAACCTGGGCAGGGTCAGCCTTCCGCCTGGACCACTGCAGTGGCCTCCTCCCTGGTCTCCTTGCAAACAGACCCGCCATTGGTGCTTCTTTAGGACCGGGTAGCACAGATCTCCTCACTGCTCGAAACGCTCCAATGACTTCTCATGGCACTTACAAATAAACTCCAGACTTCTCCCAGCAGCCTACAGGGGCCTGCCTCGCCTGCCCCCTATCGCTCTCCAGCATCAACACGACATCACTTCCCTTCCCTCACCCCACTGTAGCCCCCTGGTCTCTTTCAGTCCCTTTTACTCACCACGCATCCCTCAGCCCCTGGACCTCAGTACATGCTATTCCATTTGCACGGACTGCCCTTTCCACCCGTGTAGTGAAACCCAACCTCAGCATCCTTCAGGTCTCAGCTGGGGCATCACTTTCTCCAAGAAGCCTCCCTCAACCTCTCTTCCTGGGTCAGGTCCCCTGGTTACAGGATCTCACAATCCCATGTATCGTCCCTATATGGCCCCACGTGTCACCACAGATTCTTCACACTTGCTTGTGTATTTAGCACTTGTTCCCCACCAAACGGTGAGGTCTGTGAGAGCAAGACAGGCCTGTATCTGTTCATTATTGAGTCCCCAGTGCATAGCACAAGTAGGCACTCAATAAATTAATATTTTCAAAAAGAGGGTAGAGGAACAGTGCGCTCTGGCTCCCCCTCATGGCAGCAATGGGTATTCTGCAGCTGGCTCTAGGTCTCCAAGCCTCTCCCTCCTTAAGCCTTTTCCCCAAGACCCCTCACTGTTCCTGATGGCCTCTCCTGACCTCAGCCACTGGAGGGTAACAAAAGGAAGGACCTCATGATGCTGCTGGAGGACTTGGGAGTCAGACCAGGTCCCTGGGACTCAGGTTGTTCCCCTGGCCAATAAAGGATCCTTTCCAAGGCCTTCCCCCACCAAGAAAGCTGCAACAGAATCTAGGATGTTAGCCCATGAGGACAAATCATGTACATCATGTCATAAGAATGCCACTTGGGCCTTGGGCCCTCTTCACCATGCTCCTCACACCAACATCACTCTAGAGAAAAACGGCAGGACCCAAGTTCCCTTCGCATATCTGCCTCTGGGCCCACCACTAGAGGTAGCCTGAGGTCGAGCACCATGCCTCTGACTGCTGGCCCCATTCCTGGATCTCCAGTGAGGCCGACATTTCCAAGGCCCAGGGTTTGGTCTTCCAAACCTCGTGGTGTCTGAGGGTGGCCTAGGGCAGTCCAAGACAGAGTGAGGACCAGCCCTGGATAGACGTGGGGCAGAAAGGCCCAGATCAACCGGAACCAGGCTCTACACCCATAGAATCACAGGTCTGCACTCCCGATCTACACTTTCTTCCCTCCTACTCTCAAATCAATTGAGTCTGGCACTTGTCCTACCGAACTCCTAACTCTTCTCACTGTAGTCTTGATATCATTAAATACAATAATCACTTGGTTCCGAGTTGCCTGGTTTGCTTCACTCTGTCCCTCTACCTTCTGCTCCTATTTAGTCTTTGTTTTTTAGTTTAGGCTTTTCCTTGTCCTCTAAACATGTCCCAGAGGCCATCTCACCACCCTGGTGGCCTCAGTCTTCCATCACTGCTGACAGAGCCCTCATTTCTGTCCCCAGCCTCTGCCTCAGACCAGGGATCCTGACACCCCCTGGTTGCCACCTCCTGGATGTCCTCTGGGCCCCCCACATCCACCAAGTCCCACACTGGCCTCAGCATCTTCCCTAAATCTGCCCCTTCTCCCTGGTTCTGCATTAGAGCAGCTCCACTGTGTTCCCCCTAGCCAGAGCCCTGGGCCTTGTCCTGGAAACTTCCTTTTCCCATGGCCTTTCAGCTCCATAACCCATCCACTCAGCTTCCTGTAATGTCTCTCTCACCCAACCCCAACTGCTTTCCCCAGCCCTGCCCTGGTCCAGCCTTGTCCTTACCCACCCGGATCCCTACTCTGATTTCCCCCAAGCTCCCTGCTTCAGTCTTCCCCTCTGGTTCACCCTTCTCGTGATAGCTTGAAGGATCTTCCTAAAGCCCAAACCTGACCCTGTCCTCCCCTGCATAGAATCCTCCATGGCTCCCAATACTATCAGTCCAGGGTCTGAGCTCCTGGAGATCCTGGATTCTACTCACCCCTACCACAGGACCCCCAGTGCCTGGCACTTACTAAGTACTTGCTTGTGCTGTGCCCTCTACCTGGAACACCTTTCCCTCTGCTCTTTGCCCAATTATCTCCTTCAGATGTCATTCTCAGGTCACATGTCTCCTCCAAGAAGCCCTCCCTGACCACACCCTGGGCTGAGTCAGACTCCTTTTCTGGACTCCCACAATCTCCCAGGCTTCCCTCATCACCACATCTCTGATCACTCTAAGCTATCACCATCTGAGGTCAGGGCTTGGGGCTGTCTGGTCACAGTATCATCCAGTACAGGGTATGCCCAGAGACAACGCTCGAGGAATGTCTGTTGACTACTTGGATGCCCATCCTCAGCCTCGTCCAGGGACCTCAGATAGAACTAGGCGGGTCTCTCACCAGAGGAGGTACCCCCAGCTCCAGACCCTTGCATGATCCCAACCCCCACAGACAAGAGACAAGGGCAAGGGCCCAGGCCCAAGCTTAGAAAAATAGGACTTTCTTGTTGTGCCCCAGTGCCCCTCACACCCTCCCCATAAGTTTTAAAAACCGTGAACAATTTGGTGAGTCTGAGGCCAGGTCCCACAGCGTGCCTGGGTCCTGCTACCCGTTGGGCCAGAAGGGCCATAGAGATGGGCGCAAGGCTAGGGTCCCGTGGGTTCGTGACTAGGCCCCCACGGCTCACAGTCCAGCTGGACCACGGTGTGGGCCCTGGGCGCGGCGGGCTCAGGTGCAGGCAGCGCCGGCGTGGCGCCGTTGGTCTGGGAGCAAACACTGCTGACGGGCGCGGATGCCTTGGCCTTGCCTGGGGGCTGGCCGCCGTGCACCTTGTAGCGCATGAGCAGAACGAAGATGAAAACCAGTACCGAGGCCACAATGACACCACCCAGCGCGATGATCATGGTGCCGCCCAGGAAGGGTGCATGCGGGGCCCCACAGGGCCGCAGCGCTGGCTCGGTGGAGAAACGGGCACAGCCCACTGGCCGCGTGGCTGTCAGCCCTGTGGCGCCATCTTCATACACCGCTAACACACACAGATCGTAAGTGCGTCCTGACACCAGGTCCGTCAACAGGAAGGAGCGGCTGTCAGCGGGGATCATCCTGGAGAGACAGGCAGGTGGGGGTCAGGTCTCCAGCTGCCCAGCACCCACCCTGCACCCTGTCTCCACCCTCAAGTCTACAGGATTTCCCCCAGTCCAGCTACCTTTGTTTCACTCTAATTTCTGAATTCCCTCTAACCACTGCTCAAATCCCCTTTGGACTGATACTTAGGCAGTAGCCTGTTAGCCAATTTTACCTGAGCCCACTGTCTCACTTTCCTGTCACATTCCACTCAAACTCCCCAATTTGATCTCCCCCTAGGCCCAATGCTCAAATTCCCTCCAGTGCCACTGCCCCCTTCCCCTCTGCTCTGCTGCCAGGTTTCTCTGTGGCCCACCACTTGAGTTGTCCCAGTCCTGTTTCATTTTATACCCAGCTGCCTGATTTCCATCCTGCACTGCCAACCAGTTTCCCACCAGGATGCAGCCCAAGTTCCCTCTAACTTTGCTGCCCAATTGTGTTCCACTCTACTGCCTATTTTCATTCTGGTCACTCCCCTACGACCCTGTCCTCCCCTAGTTCACTGCCTGAGCTCCTTCAGTCCCTCACCCAATTTCCCACCAGCCCACCACCTGAGTTCCCTCTAGCCCTGCTACCAGACATCTCTCCAGCTCACTGCCCAATTTTATTCTAACTCTGTCTGACCTCCCTCTAACACAGC